TATATATATATATATATATATATATATATATATATATATATATATATATATATAGGGAAAAGTTCAATAGGATACCATAATTATTGGTTCTTCAAGGAACCAAATATTTTTTTCAAGTTCTAGAGGTTATTCTTTATCGAAAAAAAACTAAAAATATCTAAATTCATAACTTAACATTGTGAACGTTAAATATATTTTTCGGATTCACCATGTGAATTTAGATTCATATTGTGAATCTTCAAAAATTCACAATATGAATTTGACGGAAATTTTTTTTATCGAATTTGATATCATTGGAAAAAGGATAAAAAGTTATGAATTTCTGTATTTTTTGTTTTTTTTTGATAAAAAATAAATTTAAAAGTTGAAAAAAAGATTGATTCCTTGGTTAATTGTGGTTCTCTAAACCTCTAAAATATGTCGTTTTAACTTGGTAAATATACTCGGTTTGGTTTCACTTGGTAAATATATCATCCTCGATAACATTTCTTTCTTTCATTATCGTTTTACCATCTCTGTTTTCTTTCCTCCATTATCGTTTCTTACTTCACCCAAGTGAACATTACTTTTTTTCACTGTCACGAAGGGCAAAAATAATCAATATTCTTGCTTCCTTATGTAAACCCTAAACCCTAAACCTTAAACCCTAAACCCTAAACCTAAACCCTATTGTGTCGGTCTTGAATTTACATCTTCAAGTATTAATCGTGAATCTATTAACCGTAATCTTTATATAGTAAAACAATGTATTTTCAAAAGGTTTAGTACCTAAGTTTAGGTGGGACTGTAATGTATATTTCCTTTTCACTATATATATATATATATATATATATATATATATATATATATATATATATATATATGGAAAAGTGAATATACCCTTAAGGGTATATACATTTAGGTACCCTAACTAAAATGCGACGTCGTTCCAAGTTAATCGGTCCTTTTTTTATTTCCTCGTACTTGTATGTATCAACTGAGCCCCCAATCTTTGGTAACTCATATCCACCGCTACCTATCTCACCAGAAAATTTCGTCGGAAGAGTATGTTGAAGGTGATTGTCGGGGATTTGAGTCAACAATGTGCAATTCCATCGTCCAATAGGTACTCGCAACTGTCAACACACATGTTTTCGATTTATTTCTCGAGTTAAAGGAGTCACAATAGGCCATTGTTCCAATGGGTTCACCATCCACCTTGATTTCACACCCATGGCTTGTCCAACAAGGTTCGTGAATTGCATTCTTAATCCGAAATGAAGCAATCTAATATTCTTTTCTTCTTTCCCTTGTACACTGTGTATATAGTGAGTTAGGTCTAATGGGCAATGTGGAATCAACATCCTTACATGCAATTATAGCCTAAATTACTGAGTAATTCTATAACTACCCACCAGGTGTTCGATTAAATGCCCCTGTGAACTTTTCAGTCTATATTGTTTGAAAAGCACATGCTGTTATCGTTCCAATGTGACTGATTAGTTGAAATTAGACATGATTAATATGCGTGTGTGTCTTGCAGGCATGGAATTTTTGGAATGAAGGAAGGTCCCAGAACTGAAGGAACTCGTATTAGGTGACTTAATCATTCAGGAAGATGAGGTTGTAAAGTGTTTACATATTGGTTTGTAGTGTGTCCAAAAACAGCCTGAAGATCGGCTTACAATGTCTGAGGTGGTTCCCCTTTCATTGCACTTTGTTGCACAAGGCTCTTCCTATCATTAGATTGTTAATGTGAATCTTCATTGATTTTATGTTATATCAAAGGGCAATACACGTCTTCTGTTTCCACAAGGGCAACCCTGTCAATGAAGTGTCTGATGAAAGAACCCAAACGCAGGCAGAGTGTTGACGAGTTGGTTAAAGCATTGTAGCAGATTCAGGAGTTGAGGAAATCATTAGAGAATGTTGGAATGAAATCAGTGAGAAAATAGAATCAGAATAGGAATGGGAATGGGAATGGAAAGTGTGATCCTCTTTAAAAAGAAATTTGATTTTGATTAAATAGTGCAGATCCTGGTTAGAGTTTGTTTGAAGGACAATTGTGTTTAGAGATGGACTTGTTAATTGTATCAGAAGATATAACGTGAACATAATTCAAACATCATTTCGTTAAATTCAAGCTCAAGTATTGATTTCTGGCTAGTTTGGTTATTTAATTACTGCATTTTACGATTTTTTTATATACCTTGTAAAGAAAGGAAAATGCTTTTATATTCATTTTCTATTGAAAAATACTAGGCTGTTAATCATCTAAATTGGAAGTTAAAACTCAAGCATATACAAAACTGAAATGAGATCAAACATTAAAATTCAAGTAGAAAATTTTCATTTTTACCCAAAATGACAACCTACTTTCATTTTTAACCAGCAGTTGCAGCAACATCAAAGCAACAAACATTTGTTGTTTAGTAATTAATCAAGTTTGACCATTCAAACAGAATCTTAAAGCAAAATTAATTCTATCATAACAAAACCATCAAAAATTTTAAACATTCCAAAATATTAAAAATACTCATATCATAAAACTACTCTTAGCATAATTTGTTTTAAACAAGACAAAAATTAAAGTTAAACACATCAGAACAATCTTGTCTTGTTCCCACACGGTTGTAGGTGCACCTTCAACTTGTGGTCCTGGAGCAACAACAACCTCCCATAACTCACCTGAGCTGATTAAAAAACCAAATAATATAATTAGAAAAATACTAATTACAAGACAAAAATTAAAGTTAAACACATAAGAACAATCTTGCCTTGTTGGATGATTTTGCCCCTGTCCATGGCAGCGGACTACAATTGCTTAATTTATTGAGTTGATGAAGGGATATTAACATGTGTGGATGTTGAGTCCTGTTTGTGTCTGCTTGGGAGTCTTTTGGATTAGGCTTGTAGTCTTTTGCTACTTTCCTAAAACATCTTTGAAGTGAACCTTATTTCAAGAAAAAGAAAAAAAATTAAAAAAAATAAAAATAAAAAAAGCAGTCTTCTTTTAACAGCTCGTATCAAATATCTATGAGGTAGTAAATGAAGTAGATAAAATACTTGGTTGCAATTCCATGCCCTTGGTTTCTGCAAATATAAACAATACCAGCATCATAAAATGAGAATCATATATAAGATTCAATGATGATGAAGTCATTATTACTCACCCCATATAGAGAGCCATATTAGAAAGACTTGAAGTTATGATTGGGAACAATACAAGCACAACCACTGCAAACACCCAAGTATTGACAAAAAATTGTATTGCTTGTCTATCCCAACGCAATGAAGTTGAATTCATAGTTGATGCTCCTGTTGCTCGTGTAGTTGCTCATACAAAGTTTAATAACCTAAGGGGTTGAAGAGTAGTGATGCAATTCAGATCACATAAATGTGAAAGAAAATAATCAACCTGAGTTCTGAGATGGGTTGCGTTCTGTTGTAGATGATGATGACGATGGAGGTGATGATCTTGTAGACTAAGAAGTATTTTGGATTGTCATCGGTTCCGCTACAAAATCAGGGTCCTGATAGGGATATAGATTCTGAGTACAATAGGAAACGATACATAAATGATAAATATCAGTTTACATAAAAGAGTGAACTGAATCTTCTATATTAACAATTTCAAATAACGCTAACTCTAGTACAAATAAAACCATGTCCATGAATATTCAAGAAGAACATCATGAAGAAGAGCCTGCAATGAGAGTTCCTGATCCTGACTTTCAAAGATGTAGGGTGCCATAATTCACATTTCACAAATAAAAGAAGTATGTAGGTCTAAGAATTTGAGTTTATTTATAAAAATGAGATTCCATAATTCATATAGAAAGAGCTGATGGGCTGTCAAAATTATACAACTACATTCAACTATTACATGTGTTTGACTACATCAAACTCTAGTTTAAAAAAAAGGAAATAAAAAATACGGAGAAAGAGTCGATCAAGCATTCAAGTTCCAGTTTTCTGAATTTGGGCATTTCATCGAGCACCTTATGTGCACAGATTACCTTCTTCCCCTACTTACCCGAGACACATACACAATCAAAAGTACCTTATCTTGTTATGACGGACTGGAGGCTGGGGGCTGCATGCCTCGTCTCCTCGGGCCGGCCTGAAGATGCCTTGCTTCGTGGGTGAGATATTCGGCAATAGGGGAAGGGCTTCGATTGTATACGACGGAGGATGCCCAGATGTGTGAATGTCGAGGCTAGTACCGGAAGAGACGAAGATGTGTGAAGTAAATCGAAAAACATGTTTGTAGGATTAATCAGGAACAAATGATGTGAAATCAGACAAATATCTTCGTGTTCGATGATGTCACTCGATTATGGAAAAAAAAATTTCTTCAGAAAATTAAAGAAGATATCAAAACGTCGTAGTTTTTGTAGATCGGGTATGGAACATTATATACCCTTAAGACTATCCCCATTAGTAACCCGACCCAATCTAATTTTTTCATTAAAAAACTAATTTCTCTCTCTTCTACAAACACAATCCAATCCTATCTAATTTTTACACTCATTAACAACCCAACCCAAACCATTTTTTATTAAATAAATGTAATTTATATTTATATTGTATTCTATTAAAAACTAACAGAAATATTAAAAATAATTGTTTTATTTTGCAAGATTTATGGTAGCAAATAGAGAATCGAAAAGATTAAAAATAAAGATTTATAAATATTATACTTTATAAACTTTAATAGTTTTAAAATAATTTTGATTGAGATAATATTTTATAAAATAAAAACAATTCATCCTAGAAATATTTATTCAAAACAATTGACAAATAGTCAAATGAGAAAGGGTTGTAAAGAAGGGAGCTCGCTCGTGGGCATGGCCTAGGCCACCAAAAATATAATTTTTTTTTTTTTTTTATATTCTGATGTGATGTGAGCGATCCCTCCAAAACATCCAACGGGATAGCCTAACGG